GTGCGCTGCGGTGCCTATTATCGTAGACGTTACAGGAAAGTCGTATTTCTAATGCAATGCGCGATGGCCATAATAGACTTCAACTCTGCTATTGAGAAAGTCCTACAATAGCCACCTCTTTAAACCAGTGTCCACTTTTACGGGCTGGCATGGGTATCGTGATGCAACTGAGGACCGTCTGAACCTCGCAGCAGTTTCGCTTTGTAGCTAATCGCCAGTGCGTCGGGCTTTTACCAGCGTGATGTTGGGACACGAAGAATCCGAGGAGATACTGTCGGGGAGGGACATCCGGGCATGGAACCAGGAAGGGAGAGACGGGGAGAATTTCAACTTTTTGATGTTTTCTCGGCAATGCATGAAGAGCCGTATCTACCTAGCATTCAAACCTCGGGGAGACTATTGGAAAGGTCTCAGTAAAAGCGAGTGATGGCAAGTGGGTTCTCGATGGACGCGTTTCATTAGGTGCTAATACCTACCCTTTACCCCCTTTTCAGCCGGAGTGTCCTAGTACACTGAATCTACCTTCAATGTTAGTACATGGGCCGAGAAAAGATATCTGTGATAGGTAAAGGGCAATCCTAATCATCGTACGTCTAATTCCAATCCCATCCAACGAGTTAAGAGTGCAAGCCACGCGCTCATGCTATACGAGAGGCTAGATATAAGTAAACAGCCTACATGGCGTCTATTTACTCGCCCGTTTCCGAGCGCGGAAGTTTCCTATTCCAATAGCTCATATCTTAAGCCTGGTTACGAACGTAGACAGGTGCATTGTTTTTTTTAGCCGACTCGTCTTCTCTCAGAGAGCCTTGGCTGCAGGGACTTTCCCATTCTTCCACAGGGTCCATGCAAATCATCCGGTTGGGTCGTGTGCCTATGGAAACCGTGCCGATATGCACATCCGAACGCATTCAGCAAGGTTGGGCACCCAAGACTAGGTAAATACCTACCTACCTACCTACCTACCTACCTACCTACCTACATACCTACCTACATCGTCTATCAAAAAAGTCCGTATAAATTATATCATTCCAGACCTTCAGATGCTGTATCAATGATCAAAACCACCGAGCGCGCCAAGAGCCTCTTCAAACTACAGACGTCGGCTCCCGTAACAAGCAGCAACTGCCTACGTAAACTGAGAAAACCATAACCGAGTAGAGAAACTAACCACCTCGATACCCTCTAAGAACTGCTCCTCGTTTACACCCAGCCAGGTGTGCCCCCTATTGTCCTAGTATGCAACCAGGCTATCTTACACCTCCCTCCCCGGACTGGTACAGGGGAAAGGAAAAGAAAAAAGAAAAACTGAAGTGTGAAGAGAAAAAAACAACACAGGACGTCGTCAGGCGACGGCCTCCCCTCTCCCCTTATTTCTTTTCGTCAACGCGTCTATCCGTCACATCACCCACCTAGACTTCGCGACACACCGACTTATCGGACATACAGCACCGAGGGGAACAGTTCGTCATGTTTTGTCTTCTGTGGCCGTCTCCCTCGTGCTAGCCTCCCCCCCCCCCCCCCCCCCCCCCCCCCCCCCCCCCCCCCCCCCCCCCCCCCCCCCCCCCCCCCCCCCCCCCCCCCCCCCCCCCCCCCCCCCATAGCGTCTTCTTCCGCATCTCCTACTTCGTCTTGGTCCTTTCCTCCACTCCTATAATTTCTCCCTCCCTCCTCCCTCCTCCCCCGACCTTTAACAACGCGAGCCAGAGATTTTTCCCCGTCGCCCCCTCCGCGAAATAAAGCCTCTACGACCTCCTTCCCGCTTCCTTCGTCTCCGTTCTTCTCTTTTCCTTCCCGTCCCTTACGCCGTCTTTTTCCACTGCGCGTACGCGCCGATCAAGCTGCTGACCGTGCCCGCCAGCCCGACGAACCCGTCGTCGAAGCCGACCCACCCGAGCGCCGACGTCGGGATCGTCAGGTCGCACAGGTCCGACAGCAGCTGCAGCCGGCTCGCCGCCCGCTCCCTATGACATTTTCGGTTAGGTTTTTTTTTTTTTTGGGAGTAGGACGGGGAGAAAAAAAAAGGGAAGGGAAGAAAGATGAGGAGAAAAGATAATTCCGAGCCGGGAGAAGCGCGTGTAAGATGCGAAAAAGGTAAATAATAATAAAAAAGAAAAGTGGGGAAAACGTACAGGGCAATCCTCTTGCTCTCGACGACCCCTTCGCCCTCCTTCTTGTCGACCTTGGCCTCGCGCTCGCGCAGGCGGTACAGGGTGTAGGCCTGGGCGACGACGCTGCACAGGAGGCCGAGGGCCCAGAAGCGGGAGGCCTCGCGCTGGGCGCGCTTGGCGCCGTCCCAGCGGCGGAAGCCGACGGAGTCGAGCACGGTGGCGGCGTCGAAGGTGAGGTAGCCGGCGTAGCCGAGCTGGCGGCCGACGGCGGCGTACCGCAGCACGTCGTCGCCGGCGCCGGCGGTGGCAGCCGTCTTGGACGCGGCCGAGATCGCGTCCGCCGCCAGCGCCGCCGCCTTCAGGTGCTCGACGTTCTTGCCCAGCCGCAGCAGCTTGCGCGCCAGCCCCAGCTGCTTCTTCAGCGCCTCCCACGGCGCCACCTCCCCCCGCGTCCCGTTCGTCCGGAACAGGTACCAGGCGTAGAACCGCGCGAAGTACTGCACCGTCCGCATCAGCTTGTCGCGCCCCGCCGTCGTCGCCACGAACTTGAGGTAGTGCGCCACCGTGGGGTGGTAGATGACCGCGTCGGCAACCATGTTTCCGATCTCTCCGGTAGCCTTCTCTCCTTGTATGTATTTATTAATTATTTTGGGGGGGTTTTTATATAATCAGTTTTGGGTTCGTGTTTCGTCCCTCGGTTCTCGCGCACGTGCTCTTCGCGGAGGTGGACGTTTCGTATGGATATGGGCGTGATTTTCAGCGCGACGTTACTGCGATGCGGCGGGATCGATCGATCCGTAGGGCGGGTAGCGGATAAGAGTAGGCACGGTCGGCTCGCCGAGGACCTGTCTATCTGTCCGTACAGGCTATATGGGTCGAGACTCGATTGACCTTGTCGGGCAAGAACACGCGCTCGAGTCCGGAGTGTAAGGAATGTAGCGAGATGGGTTGGCTGGCTGGTCAGGGAGTAATAGTATAGGTGGAGATGGCGCGCCGTCTTCCGCGACTGACCGACTGGCGCCCGTTCAATCGAGCAATCGGATGCTGGCGAGGGAGATCCTGCGATGGTGGAAGTTTGGCGTAGCTGGCGTCGAGAGGGGGGAAACGTTGAACAACGACTGAATGCATGTTCAGCCGGAAAAGGGTGGTCAAGTTGGCCGAATTAAAGCTAGAGCGGACGCCCCGGCCCCAGAGCACATGCCGAGGTCCACTGCGCGACACTGCGACTGCGCCGGCAGTTTCTTGGTCGTAACGGGCGGGTGGTTTTGCGCGTTGGCCTTGCGCTGCTGCCACCGTTACTATTGGTCCACTCGCAGCCTCCGTATTGAAAACGGTAGAACATGCTTAACCTAACGTACAATACATACATCCCGGGTACCCCAGGTACCTAATTCACTCAATAGGTACCTAAGGTAGGTACCTACAGGCTACCACTCGCTGCACTACAACCTGCTAGCAAAATAGGAGCTAGGTACCTATGTTACGGTGTATCATTTTTGGTGCCGTTATGGAGGCTGCACCATGCTGCCAACCCAAACCCCTTCCAATGGCGACATCGACGCCGACCAGCCCCTTTTCCCCGCGGGGCCTAGCAGATGGGCGCGACGGCTGCTACGAGGCCCTCAGGCCGTTGCCCAGCTAAGCTTCCGATGTCTCAAGCCGGACTGACTACCTACCCAAGGCAAGTCGCCCGTGGTCTGGTGCATTGTTTGGGATGGGGCACCTCTTTGAGGAGGGAGGAGGGGAGGTAACTCCATTTTACCTAGGGTGGCGCCCGTTACCCCAACCTGCACGCACTAGGCCAAGCCTCCCCCCCCCCATATCTTGGTATTGGGTACCTAGGCATTGCTGGGGGGAGGAATCCGGAATGCGGAGGTAGAGGAACAAATCAAAAACGGAATGGGAAACGGAACTGATCGTAATTTCTCGGCCTTCCTAGCCCCATGAACCTCTTCCTTGACTCGTGATTGCTAACCCTTCGTGGTTGACAGAGCCGACCTTTTTCTGACAAGTCTCACAACAGATACGGGCAGCCTTGCTCTTTTATGCAGAGATCTACAGTGAATGCTACCATCAGCAAACGTGGGTATATATTCATCTCATCTTCTCCTTCGGCTTATATACTCCACCGACACGCCCCCTTCGACGTTAGCATCTTTCGCTTCTTACTATGATTGATACCCACACAGATCGGATGCCCAGTGAACCCACGTAGACACGTATCTACCTTTGCGTCTTCCAGCCGGTAGGGTAGGCCTGCGATATGCGCCAGTACCCTTACTATGCGATGCCCGGAAACCCTGTGTCGGCGTACGGGCACCGCAGTGAGTGCTGTTCAGAAGAAGGCGAGTCACAATCACCGAGTCGGAGGCGGATTGCACCGTGCCACCCCCGATGGCGCAGGCTCCGTGTGTGAGAGAAACACCGTTTCTTCCGCGCCCTAGAAATTCCTCTCTATGAGATGTAATTGTTGCCGCAAAACTCCTCCCATTCCCCGCCCCCGCCGGTGCCCGGCCGCGGTGGCCACGCCCAGGCAAACCCGAACCCACGGGTGAATCTAGCCTACCTTGAGCAGAGGTCACTGCCGACCTTATGCGATTGATTCCATATACTAATCAGGGTTCTCGAGGCTGAAGGGGGAGGGGGGCCTGGGACTGAAACGCATCCCTCAGGTGGAAAAACGCACGGCTAGCATCGTCTAATACGGAAAGTATGCTCGGAATGATTTAAGAAAAAAAAAAAAGGAAAGAAAAAGAGAGATGGCCCATTAAGACTCAACGTATGCGACTAGGTAATAATACCTAACCATCCGGGAGGAAAATGACCTGGGAACGGTCGACGGGGCTCCTATCACCACGCAGCGTAGAAACTCCCCATCCCTCAAGCGTACTGGAATAGAACGCTGATCGACTCGCCGTGGTGGATGCGACGAATGGCCTCGGCGAATATGGGGGCGACGTCCAAGACGTCGAGCTTGGGACAGAGCCGCTTGTGCTCGTCCTGAGGGACCGAGTTGGTCACGACCACCTTGTCTAGCGCTGAAGCGTTGATGCGCGCAATGGCGTCCCCGCTAAGCACGCCATGAGTGAGGAGGGCGTACACGGCCACCGCGCCCTCCTTTCGCAAGAGCTTAGCGGCACGGGTAATGGTGTTGGCGGTGTCGGCCAGATCATCGATCAGAATGCACACCCGATTGGCGACATTACCGACCAGCATCATCGTCGCATTCTGCCGATCCGTGATCCGAGGCGGCCGTCGTTCCTGGGTTTGCCGAATAAGTTTGAAGACCGGCACATAACAATTTCGTCTTACCTTGTGGATGAGGGCGAATTCCATGCCCAGGCTATCTGCGATAGCCGTCGCTCTCTTGGTCCCCCCCGCATCTGGGCTCACGATCACGGCTTCTTTGTAATCTGGGATGTTCTGCTGGATATATCTCTTCAGCAGGGGACGACCGTATAGATTGTCCATGGGTATGTCAAAGAAGCCTTGGTACTGAGGATCGTGAAGGTCCAGCGCGACGACACTGCAGCCCCCGTTAGCCATTGTCTTCGCGTGGAAGCCCACGGGAGGCACGTCTAGACGTCGAGGAAGAGGGGTTCGAAGGCAACAAGAGGCCTCTCGATAAAGGCACAGCAAATCCCCGCCCCCCTCCTCTGGCGCTAGGAAAACACATACTGGTCTGCGCCCGCGCAGGTCAAAAGATCTGCCACCAGGGTTCCGGCTTGTGCAACCCATCGCTTATACCCGGGTTTAGCTTGAAACGTAGAGAGCAGTCCCGGATTCTCGTAGTCGTGAGTCGTATAGCTTCCTACGCGGGAATGCAGGCCTTGAACCGGGTACATGTCCCCGGCAGCGTTCCCATCAGAGTGGAAGTAGCCCTCGCCGCCATTCGTCCGAGCGAGGGCACTTCCCGTCCCGTTGGTGAGAGAAGTCTTGCTCATCGCCCTCGTCAGATCAGTCTCTTTACTGAAGCTTGCGCTCTTCACAACACCAGGTCCGGGTGTCGCGGGGACGCTCTCAAACGTATACTTGTCCTTGGAGGCTTCGGTGGGCTTCGAGAGTGGAGCACCAATCTTGTTGTATGGTAGGTCGGGCTGTCGAGAGTAGGGAAACAAGGGAAGCACAGCCGTGACACGCTTGGCCGAGCCGGTCTTGCAGGCAGAGATCACTGTCGGCTCCTGTCAGCTCCAGTCCCAGCGGGCAGCCCAAGGCCTGGAAACCCCCTCCTCCTCCGCCAGCTCTCCGCAGCAGATACGTACTGATACAAAGCTCTATTAAGTGATCATTGATCGATCCACCGCCAGACTGGATGATGAAGACATCTTTGCCCCGTACCGAGTCCTTGATCTCGCAGCGGGTCTCCCCAACCGAGAATTTGCTCAGTATGCGGTTGCCGTTAGGAATGCCTAGCATATTGCACACTGCCTCGGTGAGGGACGGGTGCGAGTTGCCCGAGAGAATAACGATATTACGGACCATGTTGGATGATCTACTGTATGAATAGATGGAGGGAAAGGAATGTTTTTTTAAATAAAAATAAAAATGAAAGGGGAAAAGGGCGGTGTCAACGAATGCGGATGCCTTCGTCTTCTCTCTCTCTCTCTCTCTCACACGCGCGCGTATCACACTCAAGATTCGTCTAGGAGTGCAGGGATTTGTTGAAGCCAGCAGGACCTAGAGCGAAGGGGATGCGCTGTGAGCGAACCTGAGGGTTGCTGTTATCGTCCGTTCCTAATTGCTCCGATCACGGTCGGTCGATCTGGCAACCCCAGAAGGTTAAGGGAGCTTGGCCGAGACGAGAGCTGGACAGGCGCGGACCCGGGTATGGGTGTGGGCGGAGGTGTGAAGGCGAGCCAGAGTGATGCCGACGAAGTAGGGACCAGAGGGCTCGTGGAAAGGCAGTCCTAGAGGAGATCCATGATGGAGAGCGACCAGCAAGGAACGAGTTAAGGTTTAGGTTCTTGGCTTCCGAGTGTGATTCTCCAAGCTACCGTTGTCACAGTAGCCACAGTGCCGTGACGAGAACCTGAGATGGGATGGAGATGAAGATTGGAAATGATCAGGATGGAATTTATTCTTCTAATTGACCTCAGAGCCCCATTATTATTCACCACCTACCCAGCTAGACCGAGAGGGAAAGGGGAAAAAAAAACTAAGAAAGCAACCAAAAAAAAATTCTGCCAGGTCATCGCGGCTGCGGCTGCGGTTGCGCAGGGCCAATCCCACCACCAACTTCAGAATGCGATGCATACATTCTGTAGTGCTACATCTCCATGTACGTAAATTCCCGTCCGCATCCATGTACTGTGCGGGACTTCTCAGCAGGGACCCCCGCCGCGAACTGGGGGTTGGCTCTGCCCATAGGTACATCGGGACGCATGTACTCGCCCGAGTTCCATCTCAGTCGCCGCTTTGAGCTGATGTGGGCTGGCTGCCACTGACAGGTTCGTGTGTGGCGGGTGGCTGGACGGAGTCACACGGCCAGCCGCAGAAGCATGTGAAGGGGACCAAACCCGGCCAGAAGACGCAACGGGCAAAAATGCTGACAGAAGCGGCCGTGGCGATGGTAAAAGCAGCCACCCATCTAGGCTGGATAAGGTAAGCAGCAGGGTCATCGTCTCGACGCAGCGCCCCCCAGGCACGTACACGGCCTATGCCGTTTCCGTGCGGAGGTACATGCAGCGCAGCGTCTGTGGCGCCGCGGCTACATGCAGGTATCAAGATCTGAACCATTACATCTGTTTTTTTTTTTTTTTTTTTTCTTCTGCTGCGCTGCGTCCCACCTCCTTACCACGTAGGTACTTACCTACCCACCTACCCCTACACGTACACAATCTAACCGGCCTAGGTACCTAATCTCTAGCGGCACCGCCCGCTCAGCGGTTTGGCGGAATATGCTATAAACCGGTGGTTCTTCGCTAGATGCCATCCATTATTTAATAGCTTCGTCTGATTGGCTCCGCCTCTGCTCGGCTTGTCGGTCCTGGTAGTTACCGAGTTGCGCGCCCATTGGCCTTGTCCCTCCTCCGGTCTGCCAAGCTCTGACTTGATTGCGATGCCTGAAATTGCCGAAGGTGAGATATCACCTCCCTCGTGCCCGACTTTCGGCTCGCCCCCCAGTAGCATCGTGACGTGATATGCTGACCGGTCCCCGCCAGTCGCACGCATCACCCACTTCCTGCGGCGACACTTGGTGGGCAAGACCATCAGCAGAGTCTTCGCCCTCGATGACGCCAACGTATTTGGTAAGGCTGGCACCACCGGTCTCGCGTTCCAAGAGGCGCTTGCCGGCAAGGAGGTCACCGATGTGGGGAGCCAGGGAAAGTACTTCTGGATGGTGCTGTCTAGCCCGCCACACGCCGTCATGCACCTGGGCATGACCGGCTGGGTGCAGATACGGGGCATCCAGACCGGCTACACCCGCTACGTCGAGAGGACCAAGGGCGACAAGGAGCTGTGGCCGCCTAAGTTCTGGAAGTTCCATCTCGAGACCGACGGCGACCCCAAAGTCGAGGTCGCCTTCACCGATGCTAGGCGTTTCGGTCGCATCCGCCTCGTCGACTGTCCCGGGAAGGATATTCGAAAGCACTCGCCTCTCGTCGAGAACGGGCCGGACCCCGTCATCGACAGGCACATCTTCACAGAGCGCTTCCTGCGGGACAAGATGAGGAGCCGACGCGTCCCCGTCAAGGCGCTGCTCCTGGACCAGACAACGGTCAGCGGCATCGGGAATTGGGTTGGCGACGAGATCTTGTACCAGGCTAAGCTCCACCCGGAGCAATACTGCAACGAGTTCGACGACGCAGACGTCCACACGCTGTACGATGCCATCTGCTACGTGTGCGACACCGCCGTCGCGAAGCTGGGCGACTCGGACCAGTTCCCCGACCACTGGCTCTTCAACCACCGGTGGAGCAAGGGCAAGAAGGACTCGCCCGGCGCCCTGCCGAACGGCGACAAGATCACCTTCCTCACTGTCGGGGGCCGCACGAGTTGCGTCGTCCCTAGCGTGCAGAAGAAGAGGTGCCGCGTCAAGGAAGAGGAGCCTGCGCCGGGCTCGGACGACGAGACGGAGAGCCGCTTCTTCCCGGGCCGCGGCGAGGCGGAAACCGAGGAGCGCGGGAAGCGCCCGGCCAAGAAGGCCCGGACCCCGAGATCGAAGCCCGTCAAGCCGGAGGACGAAGCAGAGCCCGCCCCTCCGAGCAGATCCCGGAGGGGCGCCAATAAGAAGGAGGAGCAGGAGGACAAGGGAGCGCAGATCGAGCTCGCACCCGAGATCGGGGCCAGGCGGCGGTCGGGCAGACTCAAGCGCCCCGCCCCAGAATAATAGGGTCGGGTGGGACAGGGAAAGAGAGAAAGAAAGACAGGCGGTTGTGCCCCGCGCCTAAAACCCTGAGGCCCCCGGTCGCCGAGCCCGCAGCGAGGCGTCGGAGAGGCTTGCATGCATAGAATCGCCCTGAGACGGGCTGAGACGGGCTGAGACAGGGGCTGATATAAAGAAGGCGTTTCACGCCTGCGATTCCAGGGCCATGCGCTGTCTACTATATATATTACTACGGCATTAATATCACCGCTCCCTTCTCTAGTTGGACCCGCACTAGATATTAATCGTCGCTCTCTGCTGGGGCACAGCGCGGATACGCGGCTTTCGACGGTCGCCTGTAGTACGCTTTACTGTACACCTACCTAAGTATCGCTGCATTATCAGCCGGACTGGTTGCTCCGCCGTTCGAGGTATAAGATTTAGTAACTAGGTAGGGAGGGTGACGGACGGTACGTGCGACGGCCGCGAGATCGCACACTTGAAAGCCATAGTAAGCAGGTGTGGGTAGGATTGGTTTGTATTCTCGCATGTTTCGTGTCTACATAATATCTACGGAGACGATAAATACATATAGATGGACGCTCTACCAGCCGATGCCCCCCCGGACTCGGTGGCCCGACTACATGCGCGTTTGCCGCTCTTTAGTCGGTATTGTCCTCCTTACGATATGTAGCTACCTTTATCTTACCCCTTCCCCCCCCTAAATCCCTCTTCTCAACACACATACACACACGCACGCACTGCTGTCACACATTGCGGATGTGGATCGTGTTACTCGATGCTCATACGCATCAGACCGTCGTTGGTATCAACCATGCCCTGGAATCCAACCCGCCCTTTGGCGCCGCTGACGCTCCTTCCGCTGCTACCGAAAGGGCCGTTGTTACCACCGGAGCTGCCGTTTTCGCTTGGCGTCCCCGGAGCCCTGTCTCCGCCGTGATTGCTCCCCGGCCGGGAGCCCCACGGGGCCATGTCTCGTTGCAGCGGACTTTGCATGATTGGAGAGTTGTGCACGCTCATACCGGGGCTCACCGCCCGCCTCTTGAAGCTGTGCGGGTCAAAGTCGTCATCTCTACGACGCTTGT